TTATATTAATACATGCTATTTCTCATAAAGCTTCAGCATATGTATATTTTTTACATTGCAAAATATACACTATTCCTATGTATGCTATGATGGACCATGACAGAAAATGGAACATTCCCCAATATGGGCAATTTCTATCACAAGAAACACTTTGTGAAAAGATGTATTGAAGGAATCTGATCACCAAGAGTACTTGGTTTGCCTGGAAGAAAAAGATGCAGCACCCAAGAAAGACACTACAACTACTTTGGTTTTAACTTCCATTAATGTTTTAGAATGTGAATACTTTCCTACATCACTCAGTTTGATTAATATAAAATAAAATAAAAAAATCAATAATCATATAATTACCTTGCTTTAAAGTGACTTGCTTTTTACAGACTATCAGTGGGCATTATAAATACAACAGGTACTTAACAATATAGGCAAAACTTAAAGTGCTTCTTCTACTATTTAAATTACACTTTGGAAAAAACTGTGCTTTTAAAACACTTACTCATTATGAACTACAGAATGTCTTTCCCTTTACTTCATCATTCTGTTCTCCCTACCCATTTTATTTTCACAGTGGTGTGTAGAATTCTCGTGCCTCATAAATGAGCTGGTGTCAGCTTAGTTAAGCACATATATATTGAGAGTCTCTGGAGTAAAAGATATTGATACTCAGCACAATCACAAAAAAAGTAATGACCTCCTTTTTCTTCCTGAAATTTTCAACTGTGAAAACAGTAGTATCTTAGGATGTTTCTGCGAGTGTGGCTGAACAAGAGTGGTGCTTTCCAGGGATATCTTCTTCCATATCCTCTGCTTTAGGTCCTCTCTGAAGTACCAAGGTAAGCACCAAGTAATGCACATTTCATGAGCTGTTTTACAGATGCTAAAACTACCACCAAATGGGGGATGTGAACTGCCCTTCTTCGCCTGGATTTTTAAAATGCTCCCCTTGCAGGAGCTCCAGGCTTTTTAAGGCAGGAGCCTTGCAAGGCCCTGAAGAAAAACTTTCTCTGGTCCTAACTCCCATGTTTTGGTTGGTCTGGCCTCACAGCACATTGAGCACAGTGGGTAACACAAGTGATGAAGGTTTTAACAGGAGCTTATATAAAATGAGGGCTTCCCTGGTGGCGCAGACAGAAAAGAATCCTCCTGCAATGCAGGAGAGCTGGGTTTGATCCTTCGCTTGGGAAGATTCCCTAGAGAAGGGAATGGCTACCCACTCCACTATTCTTACCTGGAGAATTCCATCGATAGAGGAGGCCGGTGGGCTATAGTCCATGGGGTCCCAAAGAATCAGACATGATTTAGCAACGAACACTTTCACACTTTTCACTACTTATATAAAATGAAGGGTCCTTCCAACTGTCTCTTTGGCATACGGAAAATTGCCAGATAAATAACATTTCCCTGGTTGGGTGTCAAGGTTATTGTTATACATGGGGATTACTATTAACCAACCTCACTGAAATATTAAAACAAAAAATGTCTTTAGTATAACTCAGCAATGGTAAGCTGTAATTTCATTAATGACAGTTACTGAGAAAGGTCAGAAATTTAGGGCTAAATCAAAGAATGAGGTACACGGGTACTACTTTAAAATATTTTCACAGCAAAGAAAAAAAATACTCTGTTAATTCATCTCTGGTAACGGAAAGGTTGGTACAGATATCTTTGTCTGTGTTGAAAGTTTAAATAGCTATCACAGCATTTCATAAATTTAAACTTGAACTGAAAAGCTTTTCTTGTCTCCAAAAGAAAAATAGTCACATATTACTTACATAGTAATTACAGGCTATGCAGCTGCCCTACAAAGCGTTACTATAAATGTGTTAAGCATGAACTACTACATAAACCTCATTCAAATTACATTAAATGTTAAGCCAAAGAAATGTCATCCTCCACACCACTCCACACAATTGCTTACACAAGAACAATGGCCATCTCCCTAGTCTGAGACCTAAATAATGTAATAGAATCAATGTTGTTGATTTAGGCTATGGGTGGTTAAAAGTCATTACTGTTATTCGTCACCAAGTAAAGAGGTCTCCTTCCCCCTCATTATGCAAAAGTGAAGCTTATGCTAATGCATACAAAGCTAAGAATGAATAAGCTTCTTTGAAATACCATTTAAAGATTGAGATTTCAAGAAAAATTACATGGCTTCTATCATGATAAAAATACTGACCTCAATTTCTACATTGCACTGATCCTTGCTTTAAGCCTTTCTAACATACAATTTTAAAGCTTACACAGCATTTCCATTTGCCTAATACTTTACAAATATTTAGCTGGTCACACAAAGCACTGTAGTCATCTCATGCCAGTAATAGAAGAATACAGAGGACAAACCTACAAAATATTTCAAGGGAAGTTAGTAGAGGCATGATTTCAAAAATTTCACTTTGTCTTTAGAGGTTTTTATATCAGACGTTCATAAAATGCAGCTTTAATGCTGTTATTTGGTTTACATGTATCATTTGAGCTCTGAAACAAATGAATAGGTCAAGATTTGGAGAATATTGTGGCAAATACAGCTGTCAGGTTTATGACCTAAACCTAGAGCAATCTGGGAAGAAATCAAAGTAGGCTTAAGCTATATTTTACCTAAATTCAAACACATAAACCCATTAAACTATAATACACCCTTACAACTTTCTATTTTTTCAACTTGTGTCCATAGGATCCTATTTAATGATTAAAAATATCAAGATCACCAGGGATGTAATGTGAATATCATGTAAACCTTGATGATCATGTGACAAAAGTAGCATTCTTTGTAGCTTTCTTCTTAAAGTCCCAGAAAATCAGGCTAATTATGAGACAATACTTGACACATCCAGGTTGGAAACATTCTTAGGACACCTGGCCAGAACAGCTTAAGGTCAAAAAACAAGAAAAGACTGAGAACCTGTCACAGAACAGAGGAGACTGGGAAAACATGACAACTTAATGCAATATCCTATAACATCCAACTAAAATACCCCAGACAGGATCCTGGAGGAAAAAGAAGGCTGGTGAAATCAAAATGATGTATAAACTTTCATTATCATGTATCTGCATTTGTCTATTATGAGTTATAAATCTTTCATAGTTGTATAAGATAACAATATGGGGATTTTCTGAACTAGCTTTGAATTTTCTCTGTGAATCCAAAATTATCCCTAAATGAGAGATTTTGTATGGACAAGCTGTTTATTTCTAGTAACTGAAAATTAAACTTTGTCTATGCTAATTTTAAAATATAATTAATCTCTTAGTCTTAAAGTGCTGTCATATTTGTGGAAAGTTAGAGTATCTGTAGAAAATGGACTCCAGGAACTCAAAATCAACTCTACTTGCTTTTCAACAAGCTTTTCCACTGAGAAAGTCTGAGGAGCTTCACATGCAACAAACCTTTCCTAGCAGCATTCCTTTAAAACTAGATATCTTAAAAAAATAAATAAATAAAATAAAACTAGATATCTGACTGTGCTCTGCTTAGTCACTCAGTCGTGTCCAATCCCAAGGACTGTAGCCCACCAGGCTCCTCTGTCCATGGGATTCTCCAGGCAAGAATACTGGAGTGGGTTGCCATGTCCTCCTCCAGGGGATCTTCCCAACCTAGGGATGAAACCCAGGTCTCCCACATTGCAGGCAGATTCTTTATCACTTGAGCCACCAGAGAAGGCCTGGTGTCAGGAAGATAACTGACAGCCAAGTGAAAAAAAAACATAAAGCCTGTTTCTTTACTATTTATGCTGCTGCTGCTGCTAAGTCGCTTCAGTCGTATCTGACTGTGTGTGACCCGCCAGACGGCAGCCCACTGGGCTCCTCTGTCCACGGGATTCTCTAGGCAAGAATACTGAAGTGGGTTGCCATTTCCTTCTCCAAAGCTAAGCAAGTTAAAATTTCCACTTGTCTCATTCCTATAGTAGATTGCAAAGGAACCTCTCACTATTTAAAATGTTTGGTCCATTTCAAGTCAGTGCTGTTGATGATGTGATTTTAGAAAGTATAATGTCACAGACCTAGGGATATATAAAATTGGGATTTTGAAATGAGTGTATACATTCAGGAAAGAATCAATAGCAGTGCCTGTGAAAGCACAAAGAAAGGAAATTTCATTTCTGTGAAAGTATGTTTAACTCAGGCAGTTGAATGAAACCTAATTTCTTTTTTAGGAAAGAAAATTAGCAAAAAGGCAGGAAATGAAATTTTCTGCAGATCATGATTGTAGTAGGTGTGATACCTGTAGTTTCAGAAGACAGGACTAGGAGGAAGGCAAAACAAATTTATAGGCAAACTCATGTGTTACATAGGAATAAAAAAAAACTTGGCTGATTTATTTGATCAGGCAAGGTCCTGGGAGAATTTAGACTACAAAAATGTTTTATATTTATTTTCAGAAAATATTACAAGCATTTCTGGGCTTATCATAGAGAGATGAGAGATTGGGTTTGGGGTTTTGTGATAAGAACAACAGAAAAGATTTGGAAGAGTTCTCCATGAAGAGATGACAAATGGGAAAGTGACAGGAAGTCCTTAAATGAAAATCCCCTCTGTGGATAGTGATATGCTTTTTCATTCTTATCTTGAATGAGACCTCTGTTTTACTGCAGACCCTACAATCAACTATACCCAGCAGCTTTCTGTAGCTTCGGGAACAGAGCAGTAGTTGAAGGATACAGTTGGGGTGAGTGGGTCGTCAGGAATTCAGCAGGGATATAATGGAAGACCTGGAAAGGGCCATGACAGAGAGACTGTGCTTCAGGAATCCTTGATAGTGGGGGATAACAGATGGAGTGAAGGGTCAGACATTTTTGTGAAAACTCAATGAAAGAGTAACGTCAAAAGCCTAGATGACTTCAGTATGTAAAGCAGAAGATATTTGGCTTGGAAATGTAAGTCATGTGTGAAAATAATACACCAAAATATAAGAGTGCTTGGTGGTACAACTAACACTGTCTTTTTCTTGTCTAATTATTCAATGGTCATCTAACAATTTTCCATACATACGACATTCTTACCTTCCTCTCGGGAAGTCTGCATCATCCTTTTTCCAGCGCACAGTTGGCTGAGGATCGCCCTGGACCTGACAACGGAATTCTACAGCTTCTTCCTCCAGCACCACTTGGTTAATTGGCCTCCTGAGAAATGTGGGTCGTTCTTAGGGGAAAAAAAAGAAAAAGTAAAATGAAATGAATGTTGTCCATATTTTAAGTGCATTATGAAAAAAGCATAAAAAACATGTGGTTTATTTTTGGCACATAAGTACCTAATTTTATAGCTCAACTGTCTTGATAAAGCTTCATGGAACCCATTAACGTAACTGTATAAAATGAAATATTCTGGAACACAGAAATAGCTACGGTTTGTATATAAATCCATACTATCCGTTGGAAAATAAAATTGATTCTTCTGTGAATTTCTGAGCTAAATCATGTGGGTCTTGTCATAAAAATCTGAACACTGAATCCCACAGAAAAAAAAAAAAGAAAAGAGATGAAGAAGACTATTTTCATCTATTACAATGACTCAGAGTGGGAAAATTGAAAGTTGAAACCAGTGGAAATATTAAAAAGAAAACAAATATTAATATTCCATCAACAATGCTAGAGAAAACAAAAGAGTTGTGTTCTCAACATAAGCATATGTTTCCTAGATTTTTTTTTACTAAGGTTATCCATTTTATAAGGACCTAATACTTCCATGGGCTTCCCTGGTGGTTCAGAGGGTAAAGCGTTGCCTGCAATGTAGGAGACCTGGGTTCGATCCCTGGGTCAGGAAGATCCCCTGGAAGAAGGAAATGGCAACCCCCTCCAGTATTCTTGCTTGAAGAATCTCATGGTTGGAGGAGCCTGGTAGGCTACAGTCCATGGGGTCGCAGAGTTGGACATGACTAAGTTTACTTACTCACACTTCACACTTACTTACAAACACTTAACACTTCCATGAATGTTTTCATTTCATATGCGGAAAACTGTCTACTTGATTTTTTTGTATGTCTGAAAAAAAATCTGTCAAACAAATTTTTCTTAAATAAAAAAACAATATCATTATTAATTAATGTAAATTATTTACTGTCATACATAATTTTCTAAGGCTACTTCTAATTTTTCTCCTACGTGTTCCAGATATTTGCCCATTTTAAAAACATAATATATGTTTGCTTATTTCTCTAATATTCTGCTTTAGTGTTTCTGTTCTTTATTCTTTTGCTGTTAATCTGTACCTAGCACTGTTAATTTGGATTCTAGCACTCATCTAAATAAAGCATGGAAAAAAAAATCCCTATCTATAAGAATCTCACTACTGAAGAGAAGTGTAAAACAAAATGTAGATTTATGTATCTATAAATACGTCAATTCTTTGTCTAGTTTCCTTTGTTTTTTATAATATCCTGATACAGAGAAAATTACCATTTAATTTTTTATTAGTCCTGGTCTCTCAATCATAGGCAAGTACAGTACTGCTACTTATTGAAGTAGAAGAAGAGGTCAAGAAAAGAAAAATGAAATCCATAGGGAGTGGACACAGTTTATCTGACCATATGGCCATATTCAGTCTCTTGGAACTTTAGTTTCAAACCCAATTTAAAAATGTGAATACAGTGGCACAAAAACTGAGACATATTCAGCAGGAAATCTTAAAGAAAAATACAACACATCAAATAACATAAGTTGGGTATAAACTGGATGTATATGATTTTATTGACTAAATTGAGACCCATATTTATAAAACAAATGTATAAACTACAAAAGGATATTTTACTGCAGTAAAGTCAACCATCTTTGGTATTCAAAAGGAAGATAACTTCATCTTGCCACAGTGAAGAAGACAGTAGTGATCAATTTCTTTAAACACAGACCTGCACATACTCAAGTATTTGTACATCGGGGTCCCCAAATTCCTAGACATAAAACAAGGCTCATGGGACTTTATCATGAAGAACTTTTAAATGCAGGATTTAGAAGTAATCCAAAACACTTGTGGGAAAGTTTGCTTCAAAAGATTTTAGGTGCTCAGAATCAATTAGCTGTAAGCGTGCCCCCCTGACAACAGAAGAAATCTGCAAGTTGGATAGAATTAATTAGTGTTGTCCTCAGACTACTGATCACTATGTGCACCAGTCAAATATTTTAGTTCTGGCATAGTTAATATTGACTCTTGTTTTTGGCAGTATATAATAGGCAATAGGATCAGTATCTTCTGGTGAAAGTGGAATATTAATAGAAAAAAAAATGAGTTGGCATAGAAAGTAGGATTGATTTTTTTCTTCACTATCACTTAGGGATAGTCAGTCAGTTCATTCAAAAGCTGTAATAACCCAATATTAAAAGAGAGCCAGACTACTGTAGTTATCACTGATGATTGAGAAATCATCAGTCAGAGTTTCCTTCTGGCTCCCTCCAATTTTAAAGGGGGAATTGTCCTAAAATTTGGTTAATGGATGAGCAAACCAAGAGAAGTCTTTCCTTCATTCACTCCTTCATTTAGTATGTGTTAATGCAACTTCCCCTATGCCAGACTTTAGTGTGGTAGCTGGTGAACAGTGAGTAGCTTGGTTTCACCAGAAAAGTGGAGAGAGTTAAAGTTACTTAGTTGGTAAATGGCAAGACTATGACAGGCCTTGTATGCCATGTCAAAGAATGTGAGTTCTGCACTTAAGGCAATAGAGAGATGTTGAAATATTTTAAGTAAGGAAGCATCATTTCTAATAACCATATGAAAAGGATCATGTTGGCAGATCTGTGGGAGATGAATTAGAAGACAATACAAAACAGTGAAGGTCAAAATATTTACAGTAATAAATTATTTCAGTTTAGAACTGACACAGTGGTTCAAGGGATCAGTTTGGAACTGACACAGTGGTTCAAGGGATGTGGAAAAGGCACAGAATGAAGAGATACCAGAAATGGATGATCAATCAGATGCAGAAGGAAAAGTCTAGGAAGATTCTCATATATCCATTTAGCACAATGGAACACAATGGCAGGTACGGTATGGATCCATGAATGTTTAGATCTTTTTATCTCAGAAATGGTGAGATGTGAAGAAAGATGTGAAAGATGAGGAAAAAATGGATCCCTTAACACATAAGCCATTGTTAGCCTTCTGTTGCTTGAAATCAGATGCATTCTTAATTAATATGGTAAACATATTGCTATTTATAGAGAGGAGAAAATAAATATGCTCACATCTATAGACACAGAAAACCTGTTGGATTAAAATTCTAAATAAAGAAGTAATCATAAGAAACTTCTCATGCATGATGAAGACATTTTATCAGGAACTAAATGCAAAAATTACTTTTTTAAAGTAAAATACTAAAGTCATGCCTACTATAATTGGGGACAAAAAGGACACACTGACTTAGTGATCAAAAAGAAAAAGAAGGAAAGTGTGAGTTTTAGAGAAGAACCAAAATACTCATTACTTGCAGACACTCCACAATACAAATAATACAGAACAGTAACTTTGATCATAGATAACTGTGACAAAAGATAACAACAGAAAATCATGGCAGCAATGCTGGCGGTATTGCAGATTTGGGGATTTTCGGATAAACTGTGGCAAATTCACACACTGAGATATTAATGCTATCTATTTATCTACCTCTCTAACATGGAAAATTTTAATGGCATGATGCTGAATACAAAATAAATTTCATAAAGAGTATATAGACAAGTTCCATTAAAATACACATGCATATTTTCAACAAAGTTTTTGTATGCTTCCATTAACATGCTACCAGTCATTAAATTGAAACAAGTGAGTATAATTAATTCAAAGAACAAACTTTATATTAGACTTGTCACAAAAATAAACTTGTTTCTTTGTTCAGGGTATACTACCAAGGTCCTTGAGTACTTTTTTGGTTACCATACTTGTTGAAAGTACCACTGTTTTGTATGGAGACAACATGGAAGCACATGATTTATAATTTCAAGAAGGAAGAAAGATATGGGATTTCCTGCTGATGAACTCAGAAGGGGTGGTGAACTTTGCAATGAACTTAATTCTTTTCCACCCTAAAGTAGAGTTTAGTTGCCTAGCAACTAGATAACCACAGAACAGCATATGGCATAGAATTTTTGGAAGTCGAACATTGTAGTGGAAAATGCAATTCATTAAAAAAAGAAAGGGACAAGGCAAAGAATCTGCAATCGTTCAGTTCAGTTCAGTCACTCAGTTGTGTCTGACTCTTTGTGACCCCATGGACTGAGGCACAGCAGGTTTTCCTGTCCATCACCAACTCCCAGAGCTTGTTCAAACTCGTGTCCATTGAGTCAGTGATGCCATCCAACCATCTCATCCTCTGTCGTCCCCTTCTCCTCCTGCCTTCAATCTTCCCCAGCATCAGGGTCTTTTCTAATGAGTCAGTTTTTCTCATCAGGTGGTCAATGTATTGGAGCTTCAGCTTCAGCGTCAGTCCTTGCAATGAATATTCAGGACTGATTTCCTTTCAGATGGACTGGTTGGATCTCCTTGCTGTCGAAGGAACTCTTAAGAGTCTTCTCCAACACCACAGTTCAAAAGCATCAAGTCTTTGGTGCGCAGCTTTCTTTATGGTCCAACTCTCACATCCATCCATGACTACTGGAAAAACAATAGCTTTGACTATATGGACCTTTGTCAGCAAAGTAATGTCTCTGCTTTTTAATATGCTATATAGGTTTGTCAGAGCTTTTCTTTCAAGGAGCAAGTGTCTTTTAACTTCATGTCAGCAGTCACCATCTGCAGTGATTTTGGAGCCCCCAAAAATAAAGTCTGTTGCTGTTTCCATTGTTTCCCCAACTATTTTCCATGGAGTCATGTGACCAGATGTCATAATCTTAGTTTTCTGAATGTTGAGTTTTAAGGCAACTTTTTCACTCTATTCTTTCACTTTTATCAAGAGGCTCTTTAGTTCCTCTTCACTTTCTGCCATAAGGGTGGTGTCATCTGCATATCTGAGGTTATTGATATTTCTCCTGGCAATCTTGATTCCAGCTTGTAGTTCATCCAGCCCAGCATTTTGCATGATATATTCTGCACAAAAGTTAAATAAGCAGGGTGACAAAACAGTCTTGACGTACTCTTTTCCCTATTTGGAACCAGTCTGTTGTTCCATGTCCAGTTCTAACTGTTGCTTCTTGACCTGCATACAGATTTCTCAGGAGGCA